TTAACAAATCGTTCTCATGAAAATAACTGATTTTTTTCATTAAAACAAAAAAATGTTGCATTTTATTAAATGGATTGTAACAATAAGTATAATTACCGCTTTTCTTCCACTATTTTTAACTCAGTTTGAAACTTCAAATGCGATATAATTTTGGCTTGGACCATCTAAGCTGACTGACATCAACTTGCTATAATTTCTGTTTACATTACATCGCAATTCGATGACACTCTGGCTCAGACACCAGAATGTTTTGACGATTTTTAGCATTCGTTTAGGATTTTCAAACAACCTGGTCTCTTTTAAAATACTTTTAATTTGTTCTTACGTGGTTTCCAGATGTAGTGACGACAACATTAAAGTTTAAAGAAGAAAATTCTAACATTTAAACCGACTAAACAATAACATAGTAAACTTGCATAATTAAGCAGCAACTAAAAATGATAGGTTTTACTAAATCTTTTCCTGTGCAATTATTAATAGCATTGGAGACAAGGGTAATAGTTTGTTTGAAAGAGAAAAGAACAGGCTTTGAAGTAAGCCTAAAAGCGTTTAACTAGAATTGCATATATTATATATATATATACAATTTTATATATATAATATATGCAATTTTATATTTATATTATATATCTATATCTATATCTATATATATATATATATATATATATATATATATATATATATATATATATATATATATATATATATATATATATATATATATATATATATATATATATATATATATATATATATATATATATACATACATATATATATATATATATATATATATATATATATATATACATACATATATATATATATATATATATATATATATATATATATATATATATATATATATATATATATATATATATATATATATATATATATATATATATATATTCTAGCAATACCTGTAATTTGGTCATGTATTTGAATAAATTATTATTATTATAATACAAATTAATACAAAATTTGCAAATTTCGCAGGGCTCTATTTTCCTAATTTCACAGTACAACATTTCGCAACCAAACTTTGCAATTTTACTAATTTTAACATGCTCTTTCTAGCTATGGTGACGGACTTTGTTCTCCTGTAGCCGGAATCATCCATTATATAATGCCACATGCATGCATGCATGTGTTTTATCAGATATAAAGTCACTCCTCGTGACATATTATTATGGCTGACATGTTTCGCCACAATTAAGGTTTATGAATTATTAATGAGTATCTTAATTATATTTCAATATTAATATTTCGGATGAATTATTTGGGTGATTTACTCCATAGTCTTCAACGTGGACAAGTTTACATGAAGTTCAACATAGAACTTTCCGACGGTCGAGTTCGCAAATCATATTTTGTGTCCCTATATGATTGACTTTACTTACTTTTGACCATGGTTCAGGCTTATACACTGGTGGACATGCAATTTCATTACAATAAATTAAACCAGGTTCTCCTGCAGTTGGTCGTGGCTCTGTGCATTCTGTGTCATTAACCACACAATAATGATCGGTCGTCAATCGTCTACATTCAATCTTCTTGCTTTGGGTTCCTTTTCCACATGTCTTAGTGCAAGCTGTCAAGTGCGAGTGCCATCTGAAAATAAAATCAATGTTTGAACATACGGTTTAGACACAAAATTTGTTTTTTGAAGACATATGAACTTTAAACAAATAGAAAAAGGAACAAGAACAGAGGTGTTAGTTAGCATTCGTAAAAATGTAAGTTATGGCTCCTGTAGCGTGTCCCAGAAGAAAATAGTTGTAAGATTTTTATGTAGTTAATTAAATCGTCCTGAAATCTTGCCATGTTTTAATACAGCATAACATTTAACAAATTATTATAGCTTGCCATGTTTTAATAGTACATAACATTTTCCATGTTCCTATACAGTTATATCAACACTCGTGGAAATTGGGAAAACAAGAAACAGTTATATCGAGTTGATATAACTGTTTTATAATAGAGCACAAAGTAATTATATAAAGAAAGAAATTTTCCGACGTTTCTGTATTGACATGGAGTTATATCAACACGGCTCTTAGCCAGTCAGCGTTCACAATTTACAAATGCTATATTATAAAATTATATACGGTATATATGGAGGCTCTTACAGAAATTATAATTCTTTATGGTAAATTTAAAATGAGGTTGGGGGATACGTGAATTCAAAAATTTGGGCCCCCTTTCATTCGCCCTCACCCTCCCCCCTCTTCCGGAAAACAAAA